ACAAGGGTAATTAGGTACATCGTACGGATGGGAACTTAGAGATAATTATTTCAATCAGTGCCAAAGGTCTTGAGAATATAAATTTTAATTTGATAATGACTGGGTGGAACCTGTTATGTTCTTAAAACTGGTGTAATTTGATTCCTACGAAAGTCGTTGTTCGAATTTTGGGAAAAATTAACTTTGTTTTGATGATTTCAACATGAGATGGGGTACATTTGGGGGTTAGTTGCTATATTAAATTTATAGCATAAATGGTTGTTAGATGAATGTGATGTTACCGTATATTGCTATTTCGTAGATTGTCTCTGACTTGCAAGTTACCCGTTCACCCTTCAGCTTCAACGCCCACGTGAATGAAGATGCGTTAAAAATCTCTATATGTTTTTATTCGTAAATTTCCACAACACACAGAATATAAATCTTATAACATTTATCTAGACTATCTTAGAATGGTTTACATCGTCTTCTCTCTATCGAAAGATATCGGAGTCGTATTTATACGTTGATCATAAATCCAATTAAATGCTGTAAACGTGAGCTCGTGATTCACGTTATAAACAGAAATTCCTATTATCTCAACAAGGGTAATTAGGTACATCGTACGGATGGGAACTTAGAGATAATTATTTCAATCAGTGCCAAAGGTCTTGAGAATATAAATTTTAATTTGATAATGACTGGGTGGAACCTGTTATGTTCTTAAAACTGGTGTAATTTGATTCCTACGAAAGTCGTTGTTCGAATTTTGGGAAAAATTAACTTTGTTTTGATGATTTCAACATGAGATGGGGTACATTTGGGGGTTAGTTGCTATATATCAATAGTTGGGATATGATTCAAATCGTTTAGCACACTCTATTACTTCGCTGATTATCTTGCATGGTTCACGTGAGGACTAGTCCATGATGTCAGGGGTGTAAAACCTGCGGGCCAAATGCGGCCCTTGGATAAATGCCAATTTTGAATGCTGTGGGACCCGCAAAACGAGTTTTTGATTTAATCTGGTACGAGCGAGTAATTCCAACCCCTTTGCGTTGCAAAGCCCATACCTTAGTTTAATTTATTATCTATGCCTAGTACTTTACAATGCCCTAACAGCTAGCTTGTGCAAAGCAAACAACATATGTCACTAGAACAATAACCGAAATTTTTGTGCATGCAACTACTAGATAGCCTATGTTGAATGAAGGTGCGGCCCGCGGTTTCACTACGTTATTTCCATCTGACCCTACTGTATCAAAGGTTGCACACCCCTGGCCTAAGTTACGTATTAGCTCTATGTGGTTGATTACCAGTTAAGGTAGGGTACGGGAATATCTGTCCTGCAATGTAAACCGGTTTAAACATTAACAAGACTCCATCTCCTTTTAAAGGTATCGGCTAATCGATATTTAATTTCTTATTACCATTAATTTTTTGTAATAAAAAAACGGATCAAAATTACAACAAACTTCAAAACAAAGATGCCTTTCTTTTGCAGACAAACTCGTGGAAACAACCACTGTGAGTCAAACCAGCCTAGCCGAGGTCAACACAACTATGCTAGTCAGCATTCTTGTGCCGAGTCTTCTCTTCCTTCTAGTGGCCATAGTGATTATTGCAGTCGTTGTTGTAAAAAGGTTAGTATATGTATATCTACTCAGAGCATAGTTTTATTGTATTTTTCAGTAAAAGTAAATTTTAAAAGATATGCAACGCTATTTATAGGCTCGATAATTTAGCAGTCCATCGTTTACAATTCCAGAAAGCATTAGTATTGTCCCTAAAATCTATCCCTGATTTGTTATTTTTCAAACTACAAAATTAAATGTTTTCACTATTGTGAAAATTGGGAGTCGGAGTTTCGTTTTATGCGGTCGTGATGTCTGAGTGTATTGCACACACGCTGCCTTTCTGCTGACCAGGGCGAGTTTCTGATAACAATACCCCCTGATGCCCCTAACTTCAAAAATAATTCGCGAGAAAATATGTCATAGATGTTGTTATACATGAAAATAAATAAATTAAAGGCCAAGTAAGAGTGAAATGTTTGTATTAGCAATCGCATCACCAGACTAAGCAACATATTCATATTTATTAGATGAAACTCATTTATTAACAAAAAGCAAGTCACTTATTTTGATGTCCAATCGTTACTTTGCTGTCAACAAATGTCTGAACAGCTTCGTTCTACTGCACTATTTTATCGATAAAAATATGTTGTATTGTATTTTGTGCAAATTCAAACTCACGACATAAAAAGGTAGGGGTATTCGATCCTCAGGTCCACGAGGGAATTTCCCTAATACAGGGTGGTTGAAATATAGCCTACTGATAACTTGAAATCATTTTTTTCAATTTCGATGGTTTTATATTATTTATAATTTAGATTTTGATTTTATATTTAGAAGAAAAAGTCGAAAAAACAGAAATTCAACCAATAGTGGTCTTTCAAAGAATCTGGTTTCTTCGTCCAATGAACCAGGAGGAAGAATTTACACTGCAGCAGAAGACATCAACCAATCAAGCCCACAGCAAGAGGAAGATGCCGTTGCGAAATTCCCAACGGAGCAAGCACAAACTAGCCACATGTCTATTCCTGACGAACCGGATAATACAAACTCCACAGCGCAACAAATTCACAGCAAAGAACAAGTACAATGCTCCACACCTATGGCGGACAACAAATCAAATCCGCAACAAATGGTAGGGGCGGGTACAAATATCCAATTAAATCAAGCGCAAAACAGTCACGTGTCAATTCCTGACGAATCAGAAGATACATATTCTACAGTGCAAGAAATTCAAGGCAAAAAGCAAACAGTGCAATGTCCCAAACCGATTGTTAATAACCAATCGAATCCACAGCAAGTGGGAGATCCAAACTCAAGCACCCAATCAAATCAGGCACAGAGCAGTCACGTGCCCATTCCTAACGAATTAGAAGATGAATATTCCACAGTGCAAGACATTCAAGGCAAAAAGCAAACAGTGCAATGCCCCAAGCCAGTGGTGGACAACCAATCAACTCTACAGGAAGTGAGAGAGACCGACTCAAACATCCAATCAGAGCAAGCACAAAGCAGTCACGTTTCCATTCCTGACGAATCAGAAGATACATATTCTACAGTGCAAGAAATTCAAGGCAAAAAGCAAACAGTGCAATGTACTAGACCTAACCAATCAATTCCACAGGAAGTGGAAGGGTCCAACTCAAACATCCAATCAGAGCAAGCACAAAGCAGTCACGTTTCCATTCCTGACGAATCAGAAGATACATATTCCACAGTGCAGGACATTCAAGGCAAAAAGCAAACAGTGCGAAATCCCAAATCGATTGTGAATAACCAATCGAATCCACAGGAAGTGGGAGATCCCAACTCAAACATCCAATCTAATCAAGCACAACGCAGTCGCGTGTTCATTCCGGACAAATCAAAAGATACATATTCTACAGTGCAAGAAATTAAAGGCAAAAAGCAAACAGTGAAATGTACCAGACCGATTGTGAATAACCAATCAATTACACAGGAAGTGGAAGGGTCCAACTCAAACATCCAATCAGATCAAGCACAAAGCAGTCACGTGTCCATTCCTGACGAATCAGATGATACGTATTCTACAGTGCAACAGATTCAAGGCAAAAAGCAAACAGTGCAATGTCCCAAACCGATTGTGAATAACCAATTGAATCCACAGGAAGTGGGAGGGGCCAATTCAACCATCCAATCAAGTCAGGCCAAAAGCAGTCACGTTTCCATTCCTGGCGAATCAAAAGACACGTATTCTACAGTGCAAATAATTCAAGGCAAAAAGCAAACAGTGAAATGTACCAGATCGATTGTGAATACCCAATCAATTACACAGGAAGTGGAAGGGTCCAACTCAAACATCCAATCAGATCAAGCACAAAGCAGTCACGTGTCCATTCCTGACGAATCAGATGATACGTATTCTACAGTGCAACAGATTCAAGGCAAAAAGCAAACAGTGCAATGCCCCAAACCAGTGGTGGACAACCAATAAAACCCACAGGAAGTGGGAGGGACCGGCTCAACCATCCAATCAGAGCAAGCATGCACAAAGCAGTCACGTGTCCATTCCTGACGAATCACAAGATACATATTCCACAGGGCAACATATTCAAGGCAAAAAGCAAACATTGCGAAACCAAGAAAAACAATGGGAACCCATGTATCATGTGGAGAAATAAGAGTAGGAAGCAGCGATTGTCCACAAACTGCACCAGATAAGCCTTCTGGTAAGAATACCAAGGCGTTATAACCCAATTTTATACAGGACTACAATATAATGAAGTTAATGCTATTTCACAAAGCACAACGCAAACAACGCATTACCTCAAGACAATGGTGGACAACGTAATATATGGGGGGGAAACAAGATCAGGGAGTGACGATTTTCCAAAAACTCCATCGGATAGTTCGTAAAGTAATGATTCCGGTTTAAAACTTTCATATAGTAGGGCGGGGGATGATGGCCCCCCTTATTGAAAATTATCTATATTTCGAAAACCTTTCTTCAAATATTCCTAAAACTTTGCAAGTACAAACATAAGGGGCTGAACTCTTTAGCCACTCGGCGGCGTCCGCCGGTCTCCAACCATCGCAACAGCAGAAACGTTTTTGAGCGAAAAAAAAATTCGGGGAAGTTGGACATATGGTCGGATATGACGGACATGTAATAAAATCGCATCAAAATACTAGTATTGCGTTCTGTTTCTTATCAGAATATCAAAATATGCAATGTATTTGGAAAATTTTTTGGGGCATTCGAAAATTCCCCCTATGTCCATCTTACCCCTTAAATGTTTGAAGTTGTGAACCCATATAATTGTTCACGAAAGTATGATAAAACACCACCTAGTAAAGCAGCCAAATTTTATTCGATCATACTTTCACACAAATCTTAATCATAACACTAAAAGAACATCTGGGATAGCATGAAAGCTATCGTCATGGAATTTTACATTCGAATGAAAATATTTATACAAAAAAGCTTCAAGCAGAGCAGTCATCACATTGGAAGGACACAATGTGTTTTCCATAAATCCCGGCACAAATATCGTGAAGCCACTTTTGGCATTTCTGGCACTGAATCCATCCCTCGTCCTCTTCGTCGTCAAAATATTTGACCTTGCAGACAGCACAGAGGTTACTGTAACAATATCTTTCATGTCGGTCATTCTTACGTTTATTTTCTTTTTTCTTCCTGGGAGCTGCAACTTTCTTAGACGAGCTAGATGACATCGTTTCTGCGAGTGCTGTAGTTTTCCTGAACGAGCTAGGTGGCGTTGTTTCTGCGAGTGCTGACAGTTCGGCTACATAATTCTCACTTGTTAACACTCTAATTCCTGCCTGAATGGCTTTCTTTGCCTCTTGGCTCTCTGAGTGGCTACTGGAAGAGGCAAATATATTCGAATGATAAACTGGTGCTATCAGGTCTCTGCTATTTTCTTGCCTCAAAGAATCACTGACTTTATCAGAAACTAACTGAACTCCTGGTGAAGTTCTACTTGAAAAAGTCGTTAGAGAGCACAGAGCAGCATGGTTCACTTGTGACACTTTCTACCTCTGTCGTGGTGTTCACCTCATGAGATGGTACATCGTAGTCTCTATTTGTTATTTGCCTCTGTTTGATATTCTTTGGTATTTTCTCAACATTCTTTAGGATTTTCTGTTTCCCGTGCATCCAAAACTTGCATCTGGAAAAACATGATAGTACATAAGGGTAAGATGGCCACCCCCCATAATTTCAAAAGATTATTGAGATTATCCAAGAAGTGTTTTGACAGGTAAAAGCAATAACAAAATTATAAAGAAGACTTTCTGGTATCTTATTCACAAAGAACGGGTTTGAACGGTCAAAGTAAATATAAGCACGAAAAACGCAAGAAATTTATTACCCCCTCATAACCCCCCCATTTTTACATGATCACATGCTGAAAGATATAGTTAGCTGCTAGATGGCACAAGTCGCTCAGTTAGTCCTAAATCATTGTCAGTAAGTATAAACTTACCAACAAACGCGCGATTCAGAGTTCCTTCGCTGAAAATGAGCATATAGTGCCTCCAAGAAAAACGTGTCCTTACTAAATGCCCTTTTTTCACCCTTCAAAAATCACAAGCCACGTGGAAAGCTACACAACTGACGAACTACGCCAAGCGCTGAACCGAAATGGCTATAACGAATTCCCTCCTTAGCAACGAACTCGGCAATCGCATTTGCAGAACCAAGCCCCATAAGATGTCGCCAATAGGTCAATTTGAAAAAAAGTGTCCATCTAACCCCGTGTGTCTATCTTCCCCCGCCCTACTATATGATACCACAAAGTGAAGAGTTATTTGTAGTGGGGGATTCACAATTTTGAAAACGGGTTCTCTTCTGTATCAAACTCTTTAACAGCAGGTCCCTCTAATTTCATGAAATGGTATCCATGCCGGATAGCGACTGTCAAAACAGCAACTGTCGACTGTCGTGTGGTCGCTCTATTGACAGTCGCTGTTCTGACAGTCGCTATTTGGAACTCGAGCTTCATAAAATATATGTAGGTACCTGCATAAGCTGCATTAACAAGTCACGCTTCACATAAATCTAATCCAAAACTTTCGGAACGCCAAATATACCGATAGTCGTCAGTTGCGGTGTACGTGGCCAATTTGCAGCGGTCGTCTGTTTGATTATAATCACGACATTCTGAGAACGGAATCGCGCGAACCCTTGTATTCCGCCATTGGTTATATGTATTCATATTTTATCGCTTTGAGAAAGACTCCGCAAATACATTAATTCAAATTTTATAAGGCAGCATAGCATTCGGGGTAACATAGTAAACGTTGATATTATTAGTCAAGTTTTCACATCAACATATGAGTATTTTCAAACTTTCCCTCCAAACAAAGTCTTAGACGAGAAGTTACCGATATGTACGAAATTACTATTTCAAAAATGCCCGGAGTTTTTGCTTCGGCTTTGCCTACCTATAACTCATTACATTCAAAGTGAAGTGGTAGCTCATTGAAGAACAGTGGCTTTTTCGTTTGTTTGTTCACAATGTGCATACTTTTCTCTGAGGGTGGAAAGGCCTGATGCTTATTGGTTTAGGCTAAAAATATCGGAGTTACAGATTAAAGACCTTGTATTTAAATTATTCTGAGTGTTAAAATTGAGTAGGCAAGATTTCAACAGTCTTTTCAAATAAAAGTAGTATTTCTTTCAAAAATAGAAGTCGATTTCGTATCTGTGACTGCGTATCCATAACCCTCTATTTCAAGTGAAAACTCCGCATAAAGACATTGATATTTCTTATTTACTTTCATCAACCTAATATTATTAACTATTATCAATTATATATATCGTGGACTTGTAGGGTTATCATAGTTAGTAGTTTTCGTGTTTTTTTTCCTTGTCGTTCAGGGGTTTGATTTTTTTTTCATTCTTTCTTCCTTTTTTCATGTGCTCATAGGCGAGCGGGGCCGAATTGGTTTATTTTCAGAATTCATGACGACGATTCTACCTCTCGTTTCTTATTAAGTTTCCCCCCGCGTTATAAACTGTTATTATTTAAATAAATATAGTATAGACTCGTAGTGTGATTATATTTGCGTGCATTTTCTGCGTTCTTTTTTTGTCATTTCGTGGTTTGCTTTTTCTATTTCATTCTTACTTTCGTTTTTCATGTCTTATTTTTAGGATTAAAAAGGAATGAATAAAAATTTTAATCCCAAAAAAGGATTAACAGAATTTTTCAAAATAAGATCTTGGTTATTCTAAGATATTTTTTGTATATAAGTGTACATATGGATCGTTTTGCCTAATCGTTGTGAAAAAATGTCTTCCCGATCAATGGACCACTTTATTTTCATTTTCGGTACGTAAAAATAATAAAGTTGCTTTTAAAGACCTGCTTTAAATTTCCCATGAATCATATTCGACTCGATATTTCACCCAAAATTCTATGTTTAATTTTTATTTAAGGAAACAACATTTTATTACAAATGGGAATACTTATATATGACATGTGACTTAAAAAACTTATTTGACATCTACTTTCTCCGTCGAATCAGTTAATTAACTACTCTCCAATTATCCTTTCCCGTGCCTTTATTTGATATATTTGTCACAAAATACACATCAATATATATATATAACGAAACCAATGTGTAGTCACGACAGTCCGGAAGCTATTACGACCATTATACGACCATAACCTTGTTCTGCATTAGATACGAATCAACTCATTGGATAATAATTATTGAAGTGAATGACTGAATTGATTGTTGTCTTATTGTTAGTGATTGAAAGTAGCAGGTTGAAGTTAGGTCATCATTTCAATACGATTTCCCTCTTTTAGTTCTATTACGAGTTCGGGGACTGTCTGTGTTAGCCGAGTGAATATTTTCAGAAGTTAATAGGTTTTAGTCCCTTTATACAACTTGATGTGAAGTGGGCGAACAAAATTAGTTACCTCCATATTGGTACACATACTTCTGGAGCGCCGAAATAGGTATGTATTGGTAGTGAACGGCGACTGTAAGTTAGTATCAATAGTAAATTGTAATAAATGTACGTAGTGTATTGGTTGGGAGTATAGAATAAAATATTGAGCATCGGATGTAAAGAACTAAAATGGTAGGTACCAATATAAGATAAGTAACTGGGTTTATAAAAACGTGCAAAGTCTAAAGCCGCAGACAATATTTATGTATCATTAGCTGATAATGACGGCATGGCTAATTGGTTGGTGGTTGACATGGTTAGCGTGTGTTAAACAGCGACGCCCAGTTAATGATTCTGGTAATTGCTTTTCAAAAGCATTGTTCATTGCACATTTTATTCGACATATTTGCCAATAAACTATATTTCATTCGGCACAGAAACATAGATATGATATGAGACCCGAATATGATTTGATATCATATTAGATATGATTTGAAGCCCGAATTTTTGACGATGCTATGACTCCCAAACAGTTATTGTTTCTGTTGCCACCATATCTTATTTGTATGTTGTGTGATGCTGAGGTACAACAAAAGTGGCCAACGTACCATTTCAAAAGCCAAAACAGCAGTTCACTATGCTACCTATGCCCCCCAGGCTACCATTTGGTGAAACATTGCGAAAATGGTAGTTTTGATCAACCTGGATACCCGCAATGTCGACAATGTGGACATGGAACATTCACGAGTAGGTTAGTTTTGATTTTGCAAATTACTTATCCATGACGTTTCAGTACTCCCGAAGTATGTGAATGAAGATGGCGGACACCGGGACGTAGTATGTGTACCAGGTTAGAGTTAGACAATAATTTTTTTCCAATTTTCCATATTTTACTTCTATTACGAGTTTGGGGACTAGTCAAGTGTATTCCTTAATATTTGTACGTGAAATTATGACCTAACCTGGGCTGGTACACATACTAGGTCCCGGTGTCCGTCATCTTGGTTCACATACTTCGGGAGTACCGATGTTTCAATATATACATATATGAATCTTATATTAGATAGGTTCACACAGATTTTTCAAAAAAAGTTTCAAAACGGTAACACAATACTTGGTTCCCATGCCTGACATTGAATATTTACAAGACGACATGTTTCGATTTTTATAATACGTCTGATCAGCATTGCTCTTCTTGCGATAAATGTGAAAACATTTGGTGTGGGGTATTGGTAAATTGTGATATTGCAAATGAAATTATCAAAGGGATTTGCTACAACATTAATAAATACGTATTTCAAAAACAGATGGAATGAAGACAAGAAATGCCAGAAGCATGAAGAATGTGCTTATAATAAAGAAGAAATTTATCCCGGTGAATCAACGTGTCCAAAATTGGTTTGTAAAATTCAATTTTAACTGTTGATTTATCTGCCTATCATTGTGTTTATTCTACGATACCTGTTACAAATTACAAGACAAATTTGCCATTGGATTTGGTCAAACAGGAATAAATTCGATTATTTGTAGTTATAGTATAGAGCAGGAATGGCACACCTTTGTCATCCATGGATCGAAAATTATATTTTTATAAGGAAAAGAAGACTGTGGGTCATTAGTCAATGAGAAACTTGCTGGCGCATCTTTTCCGAGAGTCTTATGATATGTGTGGTATTTTAGTATTCATTCCTAACCCCAACTAAAATAACTGCGATCACACAGCCACTGAGATCGCATACCAAAGTGCCATCTATTTTCACTGTGTTTATTCTGAATGACCAATTTTCATAAGTCTGATTGGAGCACAATTAGAATCAATAACTGCATAGAAACGTGTTACTATTTCTATAGCAAAGTTGGAATACTGGCATCTTGCAGTAGCATTCATGGCAGGGATGATAGTGACATCAATTTTAGCTGGCATAGTCGCATGTTGTTGTTTCAGAAGTGCAAAATGTAAGTTTGCCTTCATTATATAAAAGTATATGTGAAATATGTAGTAGTCATAGTCAAGTTTATTTTTTCCATCCAGTAAAAAAAGTTAACATGCAAAATTAAGACGAATAAATAATATTGAATACACATCTCACTGGGGAAGGGAAACCGCGGGGAACCAAAGCTGGTTATCAAGCAGCGACACCCAAGGTTCAAATAT